TGAAATGTGAACGCTTTGGCCATGGCAAGGACCTTTAGTTTGGCTTTCATGAAACTCATGTGTCAATTGTTTTTGTTTTATCTTCCTTTTTTGTAGAAAATTAATGAATTAGTAAAGAAATCCAACGTCAGCCCCAAAGTGAGAGAACTTTTAGAGCAAATTAGTGGTTTTGACAATGTTCCCAGGAAAAAGGCAAAATTTCAGGTATGGATTGGATTGGCTTTCCTGAGTGGAGGGGCTGTGTGGCCTGTGAGGCCTGTGACTGAGCTTGTGTGTACTTGTCAAAACAGGATAAATGTGGGGGGAGAAGGGAGGACAAAACCTGTCCAACAGGTCCACTGAACACTCCTGGGGTGGTGGACACATAGTACCAACCCTGACTCAAGCACTGCAGAAGCTATCCATGTAACAAAACATTGGTACCCCGTTCGTATTTTGAAATAATTTTAAAAAATGGGATAAAAGGTTCTTCTTGTTTTTTACAGAATTGGATGAAGAACAGTTTAAAAGTTCATAATGAATCAATTCTGGAGCAAGTGTGGACTATCTTTTCTGAAGCTTCCAGCACTGTAAGTTGGATCTAATTTTAGATTTATAGTGTGGCAAAAATTTGTAATAATGAAATGGGAATATCTTATTTTTGGAGGTCAAGACAGCCTTCTTTTTCAGAGAGCCTCTTTGTGCCTTCATTTATGGGGAGGAATAAACTGAGTGCACTGCAGAGAAGATTTCCTTATTGTGCAGAGAAAGGTATTTAATCCCGATGTTTGATAATGGTACTAGCTAACGCATTATGATTTGCTTAGAGCAGGCGTCCTCAAACTGTGGCCCGTGGGCCACATGTGGCCCACCTAGGACATTTATCTGACCCGCCGGGTGTTTTTGCCACCTCTGCCTGTCCTGCTTAGCAGCCAACTTGTCCCAGGGCCTGCAGTCCAGCCCTCCAACGGTCTGAGGGACAGTGAACTGGCTCCCTGTTTAAAAAGTTTGAGGGTCCCTGGCTTAGAGTATCAGGTAGTGGGATGCATTGGAAAGAAGGGGAACTTTGGATTTCTCACAGACCCAGTTGGAGCCTTGCTGTGCTGTCTGCCTGATGTCTGATGTTTGATGTTGGGCACATTATTTACCCTGTAAGCCTCAGTTTCTTTTTCTAAAATATATGTCTGTTAATATTCATTTATTTCATTCTAACCGATGGCTATACATGGTAGTTCACACCAGTAATCCTAACACTTTGAGAGGCCAAGGCAGGAGGGTCCCTTGAGGCAAGGAGTTCAAGACCAGCCTGAGCACCATAGTGAGACTCTGTCTCTACAAAAAATAGAAAAGTAAGCTGGCTGTGGTGGCACATGCCTATGGTTCCAGATACTTGGGAGGCTGAGCCAAGAGGATAGCTTGAGCCCAAGAATTTGAGGCTGCAGTGAGTTGTGATGATGCCATTGCATTCTAGGGTGACAGAGTCAGGCCCTGTCTCAAAAGAAGAAAAGAAAAAGAAAACACTTACTGAGTGATACATGCCAGGCCCTCAACAAAAGAAATCTATAAAGTATCTCAGGTGGTGGTGCTATTAAGAAAAAACAGGGTGAGGATATGGTGACAAGGGGTTCCCCAGATAAGGTGTTAGGGCCCTGGGTGGCCTTGTAGTGTGGCAGTATTACAGTAGATGAGTGTACCCTCTTTAGTTCTCATGCAGCTCCTGGTGGAGGGAGAATTCCTCTGATTAATTGTTAATAAATGCACTCTCAAACCACCACTGCCTGTTAGTCGGTCCTAAATGTGTGATCTACAGACAGAAAGTCTTGGTTTGATATCTTTTAGCCATATTGTGATTACCTTGTTAAATTAAAATTTTTTTTCTCCATTCAGTTATACTTTGCTTCTGTTTCGAGCTTATATCCTATTTGGAGACTTATATCAGTAATTTTTAAAAACAAGGTTCTGGCTGGTTTTTTATTCTAGTCAAATGATCAGGGCTTGATTTGCTTTATGCAAATTGGGATCAAAATGAAACTTACCTTGGCAGTATATCTAGCATTTGTTTCTTTCATAATACCCAGATTGGACCTTTGAAACCTGATAGTCAATCATTTAATTGGCATTTATGTGGCACACCTATTATTTAAAGGTTATTTATTTTAGCTAAGAATCGAAGATTTGAAATTGCTTGGTTCAATAGCAGCATTTTTTAAAAATGTGTTTTCCAGATTCCCTTTTGAAACAACATATCAACATATGTTAAACATGTTAAACATAATTAAAATTAAATAAAATGATCAGTAAACAAACAGCTCATGATAAGTTCCTTTGCCCCGTGAACCTCCCAGCAGCACCCCTAGTTTTTGTAGTGCAAAGTAAAGGTCCGGAGGCTTTCTGTGTCCATACATCAAATGTTCATCTCCGCAGCTGGACACCAGGCCTCACGCTGGGTGCTTTTCTGTCCTTCTCTGCCTGACTATTGTGGATTCAGCTGGAATCAGACAAAGTCCTGCTGGCGTGCAGGTGCCTTCTAGTGGAGGAGATAGGCAGCCATGTTTATGGGTCAGGGTGTAAAGTCAGGTCCTGATAAGTGCTGTGAAGAGACAGAGGGCAGGGGAGGGGCTGAGACTAACAGCGGGCACTCTACTAGGGGAGAGTCAGTAAGAGCACCATGAGAAAACCTCAGGTGAGGAGAACAGGAAATGAAGTGGTAAGAAGATGGTGAAGAATTGGTACACCCGTTGACTGAGCAGCTGTGTGATGGATGAGTGTGTGCCTCCCTTTCTCACTGTCCGGGCTGAGGAGTTGGTTTGGACGTAGATGCCAGCTGGCCCTGGGTCTGGACTGGGCAGGAGGGAAGCTAAGGTCTCAGGCTTTCAGTGGATAATGATAATAGTTTTGTTTGTTTTTTCAGAAATAGAGTAGGATCATGATTCTATTTTACTAGAAGGTACTGTAGAGTACAGAATAAAGTTTCTTTGTCCCTTTCTTCCTCCTGAGTCTGTTTCTGAAATTATCCATGAGCTTTGACAGCTCCATATTGCTGAACCACAGCTGCTGAGAAAACTTAAACTATTTAGTTCAATATCCCTTTCCTAGCACTGGCTCTTCCAATGAGGGGGTGAGCATTGAGGTGTGAGATCTTGTACTGTAGTGAAAGCCAGTCCTCTTTTATTGGGTCCAGTTTTAGAGATAAGAGTTCCCATCTTGCCACCTACAGTCTCCCAGAGGAGAAAGTGGGTAGGCCACTTGCCCTCTGTCGTCTGGCTTGCAGTTGACAGAATTGGAGCTTGAACCCAGGCCTTCAGATGTGTCGGCCAGGTGGTTTCCTGGTGGGAAGTTCCAGGCTCCCAGTGGTGGACCTGAAGCTGTTGCCACCGGCCCACTTCCTTCCTCCCAGAGGCAGTAGGGCTGTTGGAGTAGACTGATAAGTTGCTGGTCCATCTCTTGAGGTGAGGCATCATAGCACATGCAGAGGTGTTTTCCACCAGTGCATGAAGTGTGGTTTCCTGTGGCTCCTTACTCAGCTCTTTGTACTGCATCCAGGCATCTCTGGCCACCCCTCTGAGGGTAGCCATCCAATCTGAATATTGGTAATGATGGCGAACACAATTCCTTTGTCCAGTGCTGAGAATTCACAAAGCAGTTGTACACACCGGGCTGGTTTCCTAAGTGCCACTGTGCTTAGCCTTGCTGTGTCTTCTCTTGGTTTCTGTGTCCATCGCTGCACAAGGAAGGTATTTGCCTTTCAGGTTCAGAGCAGATGAAAACTTGCCCTGAGTCACCTGTCTCATTAAAAGAGCTGGAACTTGACCCAGCTCTGCAGACACATGGCCCTAGTGGTTTCTGCCTCACCTAAATGCTGCTCTCTCTTTTCATCCAAAATGAAGGTGGACAGTGAGCCAGAATGAGTGTTCTGGCTCAGGTGACAGAGGGTCCCTTGCTTTCTCCATGGAGTGAAGATGTCTGTTCATTGTAGTGAGGCCTGTGAGCTAGGGGGGTTTTCCTGTTTTGTGTATTTAGTGCGTCAGTTCAGCTTTGGGGTAGGGTCACAGTTAGACAATGTAAGTTATAAATCATCTTTCTTCAACAGTTTATGTAGTCAATGCAAGCAATGATGTGAGCATCTATGTTCACACATTCAGAGCCAGGTTTGTGTTTCTTTTGCTTAATAATAAGGAGCCAGTCAGTAAGGGACAGGACCAACAGGCGCCCAGCCCGGCAGCAAATCCATGTGCAGAGAACTCCGCACCCTCCAGAGTGAGTGACACCCAGGAGAGGCCAGCAGAGGCAAAGAAAAACAGAAGAGAAAGGAAGGAAGAGCGGCAGAGGAATCGGAAAAAAGAAAAGAAAGAACTAAGATTAGAAAACCACCAAGAAAATGCAAAGAATCAGAAGCCTAAGAAGCGCAAAAAGGGGCTGGAGGCTGACCTTGGGGCTGACGTTGAAGCTGTTGGGATGGGAGCCCCGGAGGCCAATGGATCGGTAAGGAAGAAGAGCAAGAAGAGGTGCCAGAGCCAGCCTGCCAGGGAGGAGCCTGCAAGGGAGGAGGTGCTGTGGGCTGCCAGAGCCAGGGGCCCCTCCCGCCAGGAAGAGGCAGAAACGGCTGCAGGGAAGAGGAAGCGGAAGTTCTCAGGAGGTGAGCAGCTAACTTATGCTCTAAGGTTCATTAAAAAATATTAAAACTGTGGGGCAGCGCCTGAGGCTCAGTCAGTAGGGCACTGGCCCCAGATACTGAGGGTGGTGGCTTCAAACCTGGCCTCGGCCAGACTGTAACCAAAAAAATAGCTGGGCGTTGTGGCGGACACCCAAGAGAATTACCTATGCCCAGGAGTTGGAGGTTGCTGTGAGCTGTGTGATGCCATGGCACTCTACCAAGGGCAATAAAGTGAGATTCTCTGTCTATAAATAAATAAATAAATATATATATATGTATGTATATAAAAGCTGTGAACTTGGGTTATATACAACTTGTTTGACCATGTGTTTGACCCAGGTAAGAGGAAGAGCATGAGCTTTGGGGTCAGGCCAACCTGGCCCTGGATAGGTGACCTTGCCCTGACCTCTCCATTACCTACCCTCCAGCGTAGAGGAGGATAAAGCCCAGGGTGCTGGGTTGCTGGGAGGTTCAGTATGATGATGTGTGGAATGTGCCTGCTTGAGTAAAGTCTCATTGGATGGTAGCTGCTGGCACAAATATAAATCTTTTATTTTTTAAATTTTCCTACATACTTAGTTGAAACAAATTCCAAGAAGAAAAAGATGAAATTCTCAGGACATTCTGAGGGTGCAGAACCAGAAGACCACGTGGCTCCTGCAGAAGGTATGGTTTCCATTACGTGAAAAGCAGGTTTGCGTAGGTTGGGGCAGGAGGCAAGAGCTGTTCTTCTAGGGAGAGGGGAGGTACCCGGCACTTCAGGAAGAGTCGTACCCTGGAGAGGCACATGTGAGAGTTGTAAAGCTAAGTCGGTTCTCTAGGGTGTGCGAGTCAGCATCTTGGGAATTAGAGTAAACCCAGGATAGTTTTGTGAGACCCTCTTCCCTTTCCCCCAAGCCAGATTCTCTTGTTCCTATTTCTCATTCCTTTAAAAGTGTCCTGAGGAGCCACCAGACATGGCTGTTCTCCTTCCCTTCTCTGAGTGTGTTCCTGGTATCTCCTTGCTTGAGACTCCATGGCCACTCGCTCTTTCTTAGCCATAGTGTGGACTTGTCAGAATCCCGTCCCTGGCCATCAGCGTTTTTTACATGCCTCTACTTACATAAAGTTTCTGCTCTTTGGGGTCTGAAGCATTCCCTCCAACTGGGAAGTGGCAAGTCCTTGTTTCTCTGCCCCCAACCGCACCCTGGGGATACGGCCAGTCTAGAGCAGGCCCAGAGTTGTCGCTTTGCCAAGGGAAGTTCCATAACTGCCAGAGCTGAGTCCATGTCTTAGCTTAACACCCTCCTTCCAGCTTTATGTACAGGAGTCCTAGATCCCAAAGAATTTTTGTTTCAAAATTATTTTATTGGATAGGTCTTTTTTTACAAATAATAATTTCATTTATATTTAAAGTGTACAACTTAATGTTTTACTATATGTATAAGAAGATTTGGGAAAAAGAGAAGAAAAAACTAAGATTAGAAAACCACCAAGA